CTAAAATTAACTTGCAAAAAGTGACTGTGTTTTACAAGAGGCTTTCACCTCACATCACTTGTTTATGTACCTGCAATGAAATAATTCCTCATAAAACATGATCCAGGCAGCCTAGGAATTTCTCCTTAAAGTCCATATTATTTCATACTAGTCAATGGGTAGAATGACAACCACCTTTAGTTTCCTTCTGGCAGTCTTGTGAGAATGCAAAAGAACCTCACCGGTACAAGCTTTATGTGTCATCTGTTTCTAACATGATGAAACAACATGAAAAAATGTCTGAAGCCCACAATCCTTGAGGAATACAGCAGACAGCAGACTCCAAGATGCTACTCTTTCCAGGTTGCCAGAACACTAGCAGTAATAGAAAACAAAGAAGTGTGATACACATAGATTAGGCTATATACATTTGGCAGTTATTATTTATTCAGCCTTTATCGTTATTGTCCAGTTGCCAGAATATTAATTAAGATTATATGCAGATCAACAAATTTATACACAAGGCCTGATATCTCAATAGGAGGCAGCTACTGTTCAACATTAAGTGAAATGAAAAGTAGTTACAGAAAAAGAACATTTTCATAAAACAATTATTAACTGGTATTAGTAAAGAATCCAGTTCTATGTCATTAAATGTGCAAACGCAAACACCTTAAAACAATAAAAAAAAAGTTTTAAATACAATGTAGATTTACTTGCCTAACATAAACTCCATATATGGTGATAAATAATAAGATGCAGGTTTTTAAAAATGTTTCTTTTGTAATAAAAATGTTTATATAGATTGTTAAAATTAGACAGTTGTTGCAAGGTAATAAATACCTGTAATTGCTGTGAGACGTTGCAATCAGTATGTCTGGCTTTATAAATTTAGTTGATACTTAGAAGTTTAGAAAGGGACTTTATCCTAAAAAGCTGTCTTACCTGTGTCATTTCCAATATACACCTTAAAGGAAAAAAATTCTGTGGACTTGTTTAGTGACAGCAAGAATACAAAGGAAAACATACAAAATGCCAGCTTATAGTCAGTAGGCACCAGAGATGTAGAACACAATGGCTGACTAAATTTTTGGCAGAACTGGTAAGCTAAAGCTTGAGGCTAATGATCTTTAACAACTCTCTACTCTGCAATTCTCTACCCTGGGGTAACATCCCTTCAAAATACGGAGTGGTGCTACAGTTGAATGGAACTGACGTACATTCATAGCTGAGAAAAAAGATTAATTTCTATAAAGATTAATTATGATAAAGAAGTGAAGTACTTAGAGTTCAAAAGCTTTACTTGATCCCACACATTTTTCATTAGTATCAGCATTAAATATGTTACTAGCCATTTCAAAAGCTCACAAGAAAGTTAACATTAACTAAGTAGAAACATTAATTTATCTCCAGAATTACATAAGGCCAAATTGTTGGAACTGCTCAGCAGCCAGAACTGGAACTACTGAACTTTGACACTAATCTATAGATGCTTAAAAGGCTCTTGAAAACCCATCAATTTTCAGAAAGTCCTCCCATCTTTCCTCCCTGTGAAAGGAGTATTCTTTCTTTATAGACACAGTTAGAAGGTGGTCTCAGACTTTCATTAGTGCATGAAAATAAAAGCAAGAAATAGAAGTTCATGGAGTACGACACTGTATAGGTGGAAGCTTCATCATTCATGCTAAACATCCTCACAAATTCCATTTTCAAATCGGGCTCTATACACAATGCGGGTACACTGGAAAGGCTGGCTGCTGATCCAGTACAATACAGGATAGGTCAGAACTTGGAAGCAAGAGACCTGCCAATGCCAAAGCTGCAGGCTGCGAGACCTGGCTTTGTTGTATACTTTCTGTATTACACTCAATCCCACTCATTTGACAAAGACAAGCCCAAACTTTCTAGCATGTCTGTCTGCTTAAAAAGCAAAAGAAACACACAGAAACATCTCAACCACCACACATGGAGAATGTGGTATAGAGTTTTCAAATTTCCAGGAAAGGCTTTCACATTAGACAGTCAAACTTAGATTTGCAATTTGTTTGGTAGGAGTACAGGGAGGGTGTAAAAGTCAAAGATGTCCTGCTCCTCCTTTTTTACCTTCTTTGCAATCAGGCTGCAATCAGATGCCTTGTATTACCACTATGTTCTGAACAAACATGATCTTTGTGCTTTATTCTCTCCCACCAAATGCGCAAAGGAAGAAACCCATGGGAAATTTGAGTTCTCCCCCAGGATGCTGATGAAGAGAGGTGGCTGACTGTAATTGGAGAACACAGCCCTGCTTGCTCCTGGTCTCCTATAAACTGTTTCCACTGGGGAAGCAGACACTGTTATTAGAGGTTACCTGTGCAAAAGAATCTTAGCAACATCTTTAGAGCTATGTCTGCAACACTTATGTACATACAGTGGACAACTTGAAAGCCAGGCCCTTCATTTATCTGGTGTGTTTTGGTCAAATTGGTAAATTATAATGGCAGCAGCAACTGCACTGTCTGTGTCTGGATTGCTGGTATGATCCTGCGGGATCACCTACTTCCTAATGGGGTTACAAACTTCAACGTAGCCTTTAAAGATTCCAGAATATTGGTTGGCTATCTCAGCCAATGCACAAAGGTAAAATGTAGCAGGTCCTGACCAGTGCAATCTTCCTGGCATACTGAACCATGTAGCAAAACACGCACTGGGCCAAGAGCCGTAGGGATATATATGCTGCATACGCCAGAGAGCTATGATAAAAGAAAGTACCAAGGATTTTCCGCAAGAAGCATTTGGTTTCTTAAAGTCTCACCAGTCCAGAGTAACTGGACAGTTATATCCAGCTTGTTGCCAGGACAATCCAGTGATGTTCACCTCAGCAATCTCTGTTGGCTTAACAACTGCTGCAGCTGGGGATATAGATAATCTTGGCCTCAAGAACCGTATTAGTATTAACCATATTGTTGTAATTTTTCAGTTAAATAAAGTATTGCCAGCGTATTTTGGTTCATGTTTATGTCTAATATTGGTAAAATCCATTACTTTGTTGGTGTATGTCCATGTATTTATGTGACATTGAAGTACATTTTATTGCTTTTAAATGCAAACTTATTTTCACTTCTTACATAAAAGAAAAGGTTAATGAGTTCCTCTGTGCTCTGGAGAAGTAGCATTTGTTCATTTGTACTTTTCTGTTAACTGCATATTAAACTGTGCAACAAAACTGAAAGACTGTTGTGTGTTCAGGCAATTTCATTAAACATATTTTGTTGCCCTTTAGATCTGTAAAATGTTTGAAAGTTTCCAGTGTCGTCTCCTGGCGATACACCTGCACTGAACTTTACATACAGTAATAAAGGTAAACGAGCAGCAAGTTAAAAAACCTATCAACAGCTACTATCCACACATCCCATACATGCTGACATCTAAAAGCCAGCCCTTGTGCGCTTCTGCACAAACAAGCCAGCCCTTGTGCACAAACAACAAAATCATATGATAAGTGTGAATATTCCCTGAATATTAATCTCCTGTAGAGGCATCCTTGCAAGGATTACAAGGTGCCTACCTTGTAATAAATTACTCTTATTTCTGTATCTCCAGAAATCTCTTCCTGAACATTTTTGGTGTCAACACAGATTTAAGAAGCCTGTCTTTATTACGTTTGTAATCCGCAGGATCTGCAGTCCACATGCGCTACACCTCTTGGTTTTTGGTCTCCCCAACAGGAAGGACAAAACTGTATTTCACAATCAATCAATACTTCATGCACTTCTCCCACCACTTCTGAATCCGGAAAAGCAATTTTATGCTTTTACATCCATTGTTTTTTCTTCTCTGAATCACTACTCACCTTTTTCCAGTACTCAATACTCTGGCTGCAAAATCTGTTTTTCTGTGTCACAGACAAGCCTAGGCTGAGTTCACAAAATTCTCCTGAAATTACTGTTGGAAACTGTTTATAGATACTGGGAAAAATTAACCCATACTCAATATGTTTCTTGATTTTTGGTTTTTTTTTCTTTTCCCACTAAGCATTCTCTACAGGCCACTACAACGACATAAATGCCCAGTCCAAGGTGCAGCTCATATGAGGACTGGACTGCTGTACCAGCCGTATCACCTGCATTCCATGTGCCAAATAAGAAAGTCACTTTCAAATACAGGCTGTTTTTGACAAAAGATTGGGTTTTGCATCAATTTCTTGGGCCATGGAAGGAGGAAAACACTTCAGGACAGTCCTCCCCCACTTTTTGTCTTTCAAAGGTTCTTTTAAGATCACCTTGCAGAAGAGCACTCTATGGGCAAGAACAATATTTTGAAGGCATAACATGTAGTTGAACTATAGTATACTGGCCAGCCAAACCTCAAACAAACTACTGTAATTTTAGTATTGGCATGTTGCTAATATGAAATGACAGGTTTTTTTATTAAAAGATCTAAGCAATTCCTCCTCCCCAGTAGTTAAAATTGAATATAACGCTAAAAATACCTGCTTTTTATATTGCATAAAT